CCAGAACCCCGCACAGCGCGAACACCGCGCCGACCAGACGAGGGAGGGTCCGCAGGAGGAGCCAACCCCAAACCTGACACCAGAGGCCTACCACGATGAGAGGAACCCCGAGCCCTGGCACGACCTTTCTGGGAAGATCCACCCCGGGACCCCCGGAAAACCAACAAGTCCGACATCGGACGACAAGCCGCCGACGCAGCCTGAATAAACTGCGCCACGGCCGACTCCCCAAACAGGAGAGGACAAAAAGGTGAAGGATGCCTAAGAGCCAGAGCCCAAGCAGATTCCACGGAGGAACCCAGCACCGCCTGCCGACACGCGAGACGGGAAGCATAAAACAGGGAAACCGCATCCCGCAAAATCGGCGTGAACAGCTTCAACAAGGCAGCCGACGAACGCGCAGCCGAGGACAAGGTGCCGGACCCCGGGACGGACCCAAGCGTCCCCACATCCTCCACGAGCCAATCCGAAGACAGCTTCAGGAGGGAAAAGAACCGCAAGGCCGAACACAAAAGGCCCCGGGCACGCAAGTCCTCCGCAACGAGCGCCGCCGAAAGGGAGGGAACCTGCACATGGAGCTGAATAACGCCCACATCGCGGGGAAGGGCAGGGGCAAACAAGCACTCATTCAGGTACTCAAGTTCGCCCCCCAGGAAAACCTGAAGCACCGTGGAAGCTTCCCGCCACTCCAGCGTGCAGGAATGACAGAAGGAATGCCAGGAATCCAGACCAAACAAGGGGCAGTCAGGACGACTCCGGAACCTCGTAACGGAGCCAGAAAGGGAACGAAGTCCCAAACCTGAATGTGGACGGATCCATTTCCGAGGCATAATCTGGGTCACGCAGGAGGTAAGCTGCAAAGGCCGCTCGCACCACACCAGGTTGGATGCGATAAGCCGAAAACCTCCGGAAGGACGGAACCGACGTACCCGGGGGAACACGGAACCGAACCCGGGGAGGGGTCGACACCAAATCCAACTCGTACGCAGAGGGGGGAAAAGAAAACCCCACTCCTTGTAACAATAAGCCCCGCTCAGTGGGAAGAAAAACCCAGGCGGGGTCCAGCGGGGCCCAAGGCCCCCAAGTCAGCCCCTCCCCAGCCTCGAGGTCCGTCACCACAGGACCCGAGGCCGAATCCTCTCCCCAAGCCCCGACCCCACAAGACAAGGACGGAGCAGCCGGAAAAGCTGGAGGAAGGGGAGCCCACTGGTCAGACCCTGAAGCTTCGGCCGGGAGACAAGACTCGAATGCCTCTGCCGCCCCCCCCGGAAGGGGCAACCCCCGAAGCTGCCTGAGTCTCGAGATCAAGTAACCCCTGCTCCGACCCCGAAACCCTCAGACGCTTCGGGGCCGGAAGCAGGGGCGGGGGACCAGAACGAACAGAAGGGGAAGGACGAGGAGGTGCGGACTGAACCAGGATCGAAGCGACCCCCACCCCCAAGTCCGGGTCTCGAAAAGCAAAGTGGGGCAGCCCCGGGGCATCCGGGGAAGCAACCAACCGAGCGCGTTGCAACAGACGAAACCTAGACTGCAACGCATGCACCGCCTGTACCCGAATAGAATCATCAGAGGATTGGGTAAATTGAGTCACATGCAAGCAGCAACACTCACAGGACTCAGGGTCGAAAGTATCACTGGCCCAACAGGCAGCGTGGCAGAGGCAAAAACAATGAGGGTCACCCTGAGACAAGGGGACCGAGCAACCCTCAAACTCGCACACAGCGAGTGGGGACTCCGGGGTCACATCCATCGGACCCACGCGCCCCCTATGGGATTCCCAGGGTCCTGAGCGTTTACTTTAAGAGGACTCGCGCTCAGGTAGTCCCAGGCAGGGTGCTGCAAACCGGCGCCCAAAACTACCAAGCAAACTTCTAAAGCTGAACCCCAGGGACGTGTACACTCACGGGGACCTAGCAGGGGGCGCCACCGAGGAGAACAGTGGAAGGGCAAAAACAAACTGAATAAAATGACAGAACCCCCCACCAGGCTAAAATAAAAAGAAAAACAAAACCCCGCAAGAGGACAGTGAACCCCAAGGAACAGAGCCGGCCGCGATGTCGGGAAATACAAGCTGAGCAGCACCCTGCGCCCCTACCAGTGCAAACTGCCTCTTACCTGCCGGTAACAAGGGAGAACAGAACACCCATGAGCCCAACAGGCGGCCGAAAAACCGAAAGGTAAAACAGACCAGCAGAGGCAGACCCCGAGGAGCCTGTGGAAGGTGGCCCCAAGCCCCAAGGGCAGTACTTACAGGGCACCTAGGGAAGGCAGCCCTAGGCGCAAGCAGCCCGAGTACTGAAGATAACTCCTGGCTCTCGCACCCACAAAACCAACACCACACGCAAAGCACAGTGCAGTAGCGACACCGGAGCCAGAGCACACGACCATCGCCTATAGCATCAGCCTCAAGAACTGAGGTGTGGGTAGCCGACGCGGGGGTCTGGGGCTCCCCCTTCCCCCTCCCGGGGAGGGGGGAGCTGCGCAGACAGCGGCGCGGCGGTGTGTGACGTCACACTAGTTTGCTTGTTTTCGGTTGGGGAGTTCTATCCACTAGTTCGGTTTTTGGTAGCAATTTTAACCAGAATAGGGGTTTGTTTTGGGGTGCTTACCTTTCTGGGTGCCTGTTCCGGTCGATGGCAGACATAGAATGCTTCCAACTACACGGGGGCTTCTATAGGCCATTGCTCCCCTTGCCTCTCTGAGGGGGCCCGGTTCTGGCCGTGGTCCCCGGTAGGCCTAAGAACTCCATACACATGACTGATGCCAAAGTCTGACATTAGCATATCAGCCTGGGATAGCTCCAGGGAGCCGACGGGGCTCCCCCCAGAAAAGATTCCAAATAAAAAACCAATACTCCTATCCAACAACGACAGTTTGCTTTCAGCCTCTGATACTGCTATTGAATTCAATAGGTTCTTATCATCCATTGGGATACTCCTTGCTAATGATATTCCATCCTCCTGTACTAATGTCAAGGACTACCTTACAGGTAACTATCCAGAGTCTCTGTACCTAACGCATTCTAACTCCACTGATGTTAATGATATAATCCTTTCCCTTAAAACAAAGTCTAGTGCCCTTGCTGAGATACCAACTCTAATTTACAAAAAACCTACAGATTTTTAGCTCCTGCCATTCCATTGCTCTTCAACAAGTCACTTAAACTCCAAACCTTTCAAGATACAGTATTCTAAAAAAAACAAGAGTAACCACAGTCCATAAATGTGGTGATCTCACTGATGTCAACAACTTCAAACCTTTATCAGTTCTGCCAAATTTGTCAAAAATATTTGAAAACTAATCTACAAGCAGCTCTACTCTTATCTAGACAAACACAATATACCTAGCTCTTGCCAATATGGCTTCAGACACAAAAAAAGCACTAACAATGTATATATTAGCTAATATGATTACCTTGATACATGCAGCTCTTGATAAAAATGAATTCCCTGTTTAGTTATTTGTTGACCTATGTAAGGCTTTTGACATTGTCAACCACCAAAACCTTCTTCTTAAATTACATCATTATGGAGTCAGAGGTCACTCCCTCCAATATCTTCAGTCTTACCTTACTGACAGGCTCCAGTATGTTTCTGTGAATAATTCCATTTCTCCCACCCTATCCATCAACATTGGTGTTCCCTCAGGGCAGCATACTTGGTCCTCTCCTCTTTCTCATATACATTATCGACTTTCTACATGCCTCTCAACACCTCAAACCTATTCAATTTGCTGATGACACAACCTTCATTTTCTTCAGTCCTTATCCCTCTTGCTCTAAATATCACAGTGAATATTGAACTAAATAAAGTCCATCTTTGGCTAACTGCTATAAAAACTCACCCTTAACATTGACAAAACTTTCTATACTTTGTTTGGAAATAAATTCTCAAATCAAATTAATCTAAGAATAAACAATATCTAAATTAGTAATAGAGTAGATGGCAAATTCCTTGGTGTTCTCATCGATAACAAGCTGAATATCCAGGGACACATTCTAAATATATCAAAACAAGTTTCTAAAACTGTTGGCATTTTTTCTAAGATCAGATATTATGTACAGTACCTCGCTCTGCCCTGGTGACGCTCTATTACTCTCTCATCTATCCTTACCTCAATTATGGTATTTGTGCTTGGGGTTCTACTACTCAAAATCATTTACGTCCTCTAATTACTCAACACAAAGCTGCTATTAGAACAGTATCTAACTCTGGCCCCAGACAGCACTCGGTACCCTTACTCAAATATTTGAATATGTTAGATATAAAAGTCACTGCACAGTCACTTCATGTGTACTCTATATATTTAAACTCTGAACTGCAATGTCAATCCTGACCTTGAAAGTTTCCCAGAGGGTTGTATCAGAACCCATGGGCACTACACCAGAAACAAATACTTATTTCATATTCCAAGATTGAGACTTAACCAAACTAGAAATGCTCACAACTCAAGGGACCCAGAATGTGGAATGACCTCCCTAATCATGTCAAAGGCTGTCCCTCTCTCAACCAGTTTAAGAGTAGAACTAAGTACTACCTAACTAACTCCATGTAACCTACCTTACCCCCTAAATGTCAACCAATGTCTTGCTATTCTAAACAATGCTCTTTGTTGACCTACTTGTACAATTGCTGATTTTTGCCATGTTCCCCCCTTTTTTTCTTTTTTTTATTCCATTTTTTTACACAATTTATACTCTATTTATATAGAGTTAAAAACTCTAAGTGTTTTTCCTCCACACCTTGCCCAAAACGCTATGCGTATTAGTGGCTTTGGGTATTGTATGTACTAGCTCTATCTATAAATCCAACAGTATGTTTGTAACTCTGCATCTATGTATGTACTTTTCCTAAATAAAAATATTATTATTATTATTATTATTATTATTATTATTATTATTATTATTATAACTTCAATTCCCTGTACTCTCATAAAACCCAGTGTACATAAATTCTTGTATATAAATAAATATATAGATAACAGTATTTCAAATTTTACAGGACTTTGTTTTACCAGAGATCAGAGACCGACAGTTCCTCCTCTGCTTCCATAAGAGAGCCAAGAAGCTGGGCATGAACATTGAAAAGTATAACGTACTCAAGAATCGACTGGCCGAGTTACAGTGCGACTTGCAGAGGCTCCGTGATCCTCTGGCCCTCAACCTACCTCACTCAGCCCTTAAGGAACCACCAACTGCACAAGCACCCCTTGCTAAAGCACAACAAACCCTAAAAAATTTGTTGGGTCTCAAGGAGGATAAGTAGCTTTTATAACCTATTCACCTAGGAAGATCAATGGATTTACAGATTTTACAAATACTGTAGATTTTAGCATAACATGGACAAGTTAAAAGATGTCCTAGTCCACACAGTTGCTCAGCTAAGTCTCGGCAACTCTTCACAGAGTAATGGTTAATGAGGAAAGCAAACTTCCAGTTTTGATATTAAGCCTATGGCCAGGAAGTGCTTGCATTAGCTGTGTTGACCAAGATGAAGGAAAGTTTAATGAAAAGTTGTTGGATGTAAGAAATAACTGTATTAAAAGATACAGATATACAGAATATATCAAATTTGAAATTTACATGTAAGCATCGAAGCCATATGTGAATACCTTATGATTTCTCAGTGAAAATTATGTTATGCCTTTCAAAACCCAGTTTTTTCAACAACTACAACTTGCACTCTGACTAATTTTATATATAAATTATTGCCATTCTTAATACTCCATAGAAAACATGTCTAACATACTGGTATTTAAATAAATTTTAATGTTTAAATTTAAATCTGCATTTAGACATTTACAAACACAAGTATATTCTGTAAGCTTTAAATTTTAAGTGATTTTTCAGGATATGGGGACTAAGTTATTTGAATTAAAATTTACTAAATTATTAAACAAAGTACTGTATGTCACATATGAGAACATAAGAGAAAGTGTGCAAATTGAAAGCATTACAATCAAAAGGAAAAAAATAGCATTCATCACAACTGAATCATAAGATATTTTAGGAATCAATATTCCTGTCATAGCAAAATACCCATGTTAAATAAAATTCTGTAATATGAGCATGGTTCATAAAGGATTTGATTTGTTGAAAGTCTCACATTTTTAAATAAAATCTAACTTGGGGTTAACATTCTAAAGAAATTTAGCATAAAAGATTCATAATGTCCTTTCACAATACACAATGTACACAATAGCTCCTACAGTAAATATTCAGAATTGGATGTTTGTATGAAACCGTAAATCTGGTTTCCTTATGAAATCAAATAAATGTATCAAAAAGCACAAATGTACTTATCACGGTTGTTTAAAATATATACATATAAAAATCTCACACACACACACACACACACACACACACACACACACACACACACACACACACACACACACACACACACACACACACACACACACACACACACACACCAAAAACACACAGTGCCATCTTAATGCATAGACACACTGGGATCCAGGGTCACTATTGTTCAAGAGATCTTTTGACAGTGGATAATTTCCCGACCTCTCTCTGAAAGGGCCTGAGATTTTAATGCCTTTACAAATTATATTTATAATATCAGTAATTTGTGCATAATTATGACAGTAATCTTGTACTTTAGCAGATGAGCAGGCTCATTATCTTAGTAGTGGCCCCCAGTGTGTTTCTTTGCCCAGGGCAAAGAAACCCAGATTATATTACATCAGTGCTGTTAAGATGGGCCTGCAAACACATGCACAACCAATTATTACCCACACACTATTATGTGGATTGTTTCATTTTACTATTTTAAGATTTGTTTTACATTTAGAATTATGGATATCAAAGATAATTGTTTAAAGGCCAGCTCTGCTTTCATTAGTCAAAAAACTGAACCAACTTAAATGACTTCATAAATTTGTGATGCCATTATCCCCATAACTCTGTGCAAGAGGTATATTTTTAGATTTTCTAATTGATGATTCACTTTATTGAATATAATTATATTAATGTCAATTTAGCAATGTTTTTCTCAATTTACTGTGTAATATCAGGAAGATATTTCCTAAGTTATTATTCAAGAATGAATATCAGAGGTCTTGTTGACTTCTCTGATACTTACAAGTCTTACGACTAATAGTTTGACAATGTGTCTTCCTACGATGGTGGATTTGTTGACATCAGAGGGATTCTGGGGATAATAGTGCTGGCCAGTGACTTCCGAATGATAAATTTCAGTGATTTATTACAACATGATCAGCTGCAATTGAGAGCACTTCACTGCCCCAATCCCTTCAAGCAAGCAATGACATCACAGTTTTTGCCATTTCACATGCTTTTATTGATTATACACTGTATACATATTTTACAGCAGTGCACTTTTTCTAGTACGAACTTTTGTAGGTATTCATAATATTTCAAAAATTTAAAGGTCTTTCTTTACACTGAAAACAACTAATATTATATAATCAGGGTTCCAACACTAGATGTTGGTATAACAATTGGTTTGGTTTCATACCCCATCAAGTCCTCATAAGCAACACTTTCATGTATCCATCATATTCTGCTGATTAGCAGTGACCTCATGTTTATAGGGTCAATAAGGGTGATAATGATTATTTTTAGTTTTGTATTACTGGTTGTTACAGCTAGTCTTTCATAATATGTCATTGGTTGATGTTTGCTAATATGTAGTTGGTTTTTAAGCATTTTTATAGTGTTATCCTAATAGAAAGGAAGAGAAAGATGTTAGCAATACATATTTTATAACGAAATAGATGGTTGGTTCATTGGCTAAGATGAAACTTTTATATTGTCTTCATTGCGACTTAGATTCTGATATTCTCAATTCACTTAACTTTATAATCTTCATTCTCTATTTGAACCTTAACTTTATCTAAATATGAATCCTATTTAATCTTCTCTGTCTTCTTAGGCACAGATTCCCTCTTGTCATTTATTAAGGCTTTTGATATTCATGTACACAGAAAACCTGATATATTTGCCAAGCATTACAAGTATAATCTCTAACTTGGAGATTCTAATTCAAATTACCGAGCCAAATTTACAAAATTAATTATTTTGGAATTGTCAAAAATAATAATACAAACAGACAACCATATATATATATATATATATATATATATATATATATATATATATATATATATATATATATATATATATATATATATATATATATATATATATATATATATATATATATATATATATATATATATATATATATATATATATATATATATATATATATATATATATATATATATATATATATATATATATATATATATATATATATATATATACATATATATATATATATATATATATATATATATATATATATATATATATATATAATATGTATATACATACATGATTATACATATAAAAGAGTATGAGTTCATATTCCATTTTATTGTTTCCATAGATATGACACTTTTGCAATTCAAAATATTGTATTGTACTGTATTGGAATTATTCACCACTCAAACTGCATGCTTTATAAGGATATGCACTCAAACTATATCTAGAAACTGAAACTGTTTTGGTATGTATAGTGCAGAAATTAAAAACTAAATTGTTGCTCACATGGCCTACCATTTTTGTGTATTGTACTAACAGAGTGTTAAACAAATTTGATCATATTTTTGCATAAATAGTGCTGTGTGCAAAGCTAAACAAGGCTTTCCATTTACCTCAGGTTTTCTGTGCATGTATTAGTAGGATGAGAAGAGAAAGTACTGTATCACATTCAGTAAATACTTTCTCACACAATTCGTTCCTCCTGCCACTGACATCTTTAGAAAATGTGAAATTTTTCAGTCTCTATTTCACCGTCTCAATTCAGATCAGGAATACTAGTTATGATACTTGCTATAAGGTCTTTAACTGATTGCAAGAATTGAATCTGCAGAATTCATATCATTGACAGAAATATATTGTGAGTATGTGAATTTTATTGTAATGAATAATGATAGTAATTTTTGTATACAAAAATTGAAGTGATTGAAGAATGTTTGATACATTTGTTAGATAACAATTTTATAATAGGTTTTTGATCAGTGAGGACAGATTAGAGAAGGCCTAAAACTTCTTTTATGATAAGAAAATTATATTTACAAACTTCCTCATTGATTAGTCAATATTTTAATGCAATTTTTTTTTTTTTAGCATTCTTCTTTCACAGTGCAGTGAACATTACAAATGTCTTCTACTTTTCTATCCAGATCAGTTGAAAGGAGACATAACTTGAGGGTCAGTAATAATTTAATTATACGGGAGCTGATCCTCACTGAGCCCGGCTTTTTAGTTCTGGCCGTCACTATCAGGTCTAGCATGCTTATGTTGCTTCTTGTGTTTGATGTGAAAGTAAAGATTTAATAATTGCAATATTTCATAACTTTTTACATCCTGCAGAAGTACTTACAGGAAAATTCTTAAATTCTCTACCAAAACAAAGACTTTCATTTATTTTTTGTTCTTGTTTAAGCTACACTATTATATGATGACATAAGGAAATTCAGCATTCACGGTGATCATTTATTTTTGTCTTGTACAGTACATCTTAAATTACACAAACTGTAGCAAATACAGTACAGGGGTTTAGTGTGAACAGAGGTAAACGTGTGTTATTAACTAGCATTAAAATAGCAGGTGTGTGTCCACAATAATGGCCAGGTGATTGAGGAAAATTATTTCTTGTTAGAAAAATCATTTATCCTTCCTGAAGCATTTGAGCCTACCACTTACTGTGGTCTAGTTAGGGCACACAAACACATAAATAATACCACTTAGCTTAAAGTACACTGTCATGAAGGCACACACACCACATACTGTGCACCGGGGTATACACACACACCACATATTGTGCACCAAGGGTATACACACACCACATACTGTGCACTGAGGGTATACACACACCACATACTGTGCACTGAGGGTATACACACACCACATACTGTGCACCAAGGGTACACACACACACCACATACTATGCACTGAGGGTACACGCACACCACATACTGTGCACCAAGGGAAGACACATGCCACATACTGTGTACCAAGGGTATACACACACACACCACATACTGTGCACCAAGGGTAGGCACACACATACACACACACACAATGATGAGAGCTTACACATACCATGCCACATACTGTGTACTGTAACATTAATATACTGTAATAATTTACCTATATTATTGCTGTCATTGATTTGTTGTCAAATGCTTCCATATATATACATTTTCCTCTTACATATATTCTACCTGTATATACTTATTATAATCTTACACAATCTAATCATACTCTCCCATTTCTTACTGCTGCTGATCAGCCTTTGTTTCATTCTTGTGATAGCCATTGAACTTACCTAATTGTTTTAACACTTTTAATGCTTCTTAGGTCTTTGGCACTTGCAAGTCTGGTGATGGTCAGCCCCCAAAATGCCTAGGGAAGATTGCATGCTAAACCCTGCATACATTCATATATGAAATTTAGAAATAGAAGGTTGTATGGATTGCATTGAGTTATGTTTAAAAAAAAAACAAAAAAAAAGTTCCCTTAGAGTCAGATGCTTAGTTTTTTTTCTCCATATGGAAAGCAGTCACTACCAAGATTATCTAAGGTACACCATCAAGGCTGTCTGCATTTCACAGGCCATGAACAAATGGGAATATAGTTATTTGATACCATGTGCACATTTAAGAAAAAAAAAGGAATAGTAGCCTTTGCCCTCCCTTCTTGTGACTTGATTTTCCACATGCTGCCTAGTCTGCCAAAGTGTGCCTCACTCTTGTAATCCATCAGTTAATTACATTGAACATGTATGGATCAATTCTGTTTAGGAATAAAGAGGGGCAATTTTTTTGTTTAATAAGATAACGTTATAATTATAACGACAATTATAAAACTGCCCGTTATGTATGTTACTTTGTTCCTACCGAAATGGGGGTAGAACATAAGCAGTAAGCCTCTCACCACCTTTATATAATGTGAACTAGATCTCTATTACATACAGTATTGTACTATAAATAGTAGGCTACATATGGTACAATTTTTATTTTGTGATTAATTTTACATTTGTTTTCAATTATTAAAAACACAAATATATAACTTGTGTTTAATTATATAGTTAAACATAATAATAAACAAAATGCTACAGTATTAATTTTGTATGGATATTTGGTATATGGCAGGGGGATGAGGTTCATCTCTGTCCTGTTTGAATATTGAAATAATAAATTGAGTATTTAAATGTGACATGTTAGATTGTGGACCTATCTTGACTATCACTTTGTATCTTGATGACTATATTATCATCTGCCTAAACATTACTATATATATGTTTTACATTAATTTGAAATTCTAAGGAGTCCATATGGTAAGAATTACAGAGTGCCTTTCATTTTCA